AGAGAGAGAGAGAGAGAGAGAGAGAGAGAGAGAGAGAGAGAGAGAGAGAGAGAGATGAGCGATCCAAGATTGGTTGTCACTTACCTGTAAGGCGAGATTGCGGAGTCCGGTGGAGAAGGAAGATAACGGCCATAGCCGCGGAGCTGTAACACAGAGTACCGGAGGAGAGAGAAAGGGAGGACAGAGAAGAAGAAGTGTGGAAGGAGGAGATCGAAGAGGAAGACGAACATAGTCAGGGGTGTGTATAAAAAATAAAAAAAAATAAAAAAAAAAATAAAAATAGTGGAAGAGAAAGAAAGTAAAGGACGGGGAAGCAGACGGCGAGGGTGATGAAGGTGAAGGTGCCGGCAGCCATAGCTGAGGTGAGGAGTTGACCGGGTGTTGACCAGAGCGTTGACCAGAGGGTTGACCAGGCGTTGACCGAGGGTGTTGACCAAGCGTTGACTGGGGGTTGCTCGCGTCGACTCGGCGTTGACCAAGGCGTTGACCGGAGTTGCTGTTGACCAAGATTTTGACCAAGCTGGAGTTGATGATACCTCGTTGACCCCTCAGCCTATTCCCTTACCCTGTGGATGTGCACACCCCTACGGTACTTGCTGAATTGAGTGTGTCTGTCTTCCTTTTTGCATTGAGTCTCTTCTGTCCTAGGTGTTAGGACTCTGTGGGTGAAGGATAGGGCCTTGCTGCCAAACCTGCACGGGACTTAGTAGGACCAAAGCTCTACTCTGGCACTTGGAGACCTGGCATGAGCGGCGAGCGCTCGTTAAACAACTCGTCTAGCCCAATGACCGGTACTGTCCGGCAGGTTTATTAAGTTTATTGTAGAGGGTGTAAACTCCGAGCTGTGGGCTGAAACGAGGGTCGTCTTTAAGTATTGAGGCCTGGTTGAGCCACTCCCCTACCGGACCTAGTAAGGTTGATGATCTGTGTCTGACGACTCGACTGTCCCGAGGGATACAAACCCCTCCAAGGACCGGTACAGACCGGCGGGCTGCTCGGTGTGGCACAGTAGGCCGGAACGGCTGAGTTGTGGGCTGAAATCGCCAGGAAGGACCAAACTGATCACGTCGTCCTGTCTGCGACGTTAAAGAATTCTTGCGGAGTTTGGGGGATCTCCTTAAATGCCTCCTGATCAACTTTTGGTTCTGTAGTGACAGCCTTAGAGTTGTCTTGGGTTAGTAGTGACCATAGTTGACAGGGTCCTACCCTGTGGTCTTTAGGGAGTCAACCAGCACGTCAGTGTGTCCGGGTAGGTCTACGTGGTGAGGAGTGGGACCCCTGTCGTGCACCAACACCACGATGGATGCTATCAGATGTATGGGCTACTTGTTGGGTTCTCCCTCTGGGGGACCCTCTGGCATCTCCTCTTCCCTCTGGGTTTCTAGCCCACTGTTGCGTGTAGAGTAGGACCCACTCGGGGTGGTACTTCCACCAACCCTTACACGAAGGAGGAAGAGAAGAAGATGGCCGCCATTTTGCAGGAGAAGAAGGAGAAGAAGGAGGCCAAGAAGAAGGCCTTGAAGGAGGAGCAGGCGGCCAAATTGAAGAAGATAGAAGAAGAGATG